TTTCCATGAGTTCCTTCCTTCCAACACATTCTACTACAGCCTGGAACAACACAAGTTTTAACTCTTCCCAGAAATGTTTATAAAGGTTAGCTGTAAGTCCGTCTGGCCCGGTCAGACGCCATATTTCTAATAGCAATATCAAATTCAGAGATTCTTAGCTCTTCATCACAGATTTCCTTAAAATTTTAATCAATAACAGGAATCAGATTTCTTACTTTTTCAAAAAATGATGAAGTAATTTGTTCTGTATGTGAAGGTTTATAAAGATTACTATAGAAATTAAATACTTCTTGTGTTATTCTCTTAGTCTCAGAACATTCCACTCCATCAATCATAAGTCTATTAATTGCATTATATTCCTGTCTACGTTTTTCTAAGTTACAAAAGAAAGCACTATTCTTTTCTCCTTCTTCAATCCACCTGGCTCTGGACCTTACATAAGCACCTTTTGCCCTGTTTATATATTCGGGGTCTACTCTTATATTATGTCTATGTCTACTATGTCCTCCCCATTTTAAATAAAGTTTATTTAAAAAAAAGCGAGAACGAACTCCTCTCAATGGCGGAAATACGTCAGACACACGTGATCGCGGAAGTGCTCCCTCTTCCGTCCGCTGTAGCACATTACTCTAATATAAATTCCATTTGTTTCGGGATAAATCTCCTCATTAATCGTTCCTAAAAACTGTTGAGCCCCAATAACAGATTTTTCTGCTAACATCAGCTTCATTTTTCTTCAATCAGTTTAAAATGCCGACCGAAGTGGCCGACAGCCCCACTCCAGGCCTGTAGGGGGCGCTGTGAAACAGTTCCGGTCACGCTGCGCTTCCTGTCACCTCCGTTGTTAGCACATGTTCAGGAGGAGCATCGTGAGGCGCTTCGGAACCGAGTGAACCTCGGGATAAACTGGTGAAATGACAGAAAGCAAAGCGGAGTCCGTCTCGCAGCGGCCCAGAGAGCTGCTGGCGCTGAACCCGGAGCTGGAGGTCGAGTTCAAGAAGAAGGTCCAAGAGGTGAAGAAGAAGAGCCGCGGCGGAAAGGTGAGCACACGCCGGTTCTGGTCTTCCTCATGGGGGATTCAGGACGTCTGAAGGCTCGGAACCGGAGAGGCAAAGAACTGATTAAACCAAGAACCTCACGTTTGGTCCAAAACATCTCGCCGGACTGGATCCAGGACTGCAGAAATATTCAATAAATTAGGATAACAAATTAAATTGTTTCAGATACTTTATAACTTATTGCATTTTATAGGATTATTATATAGGTTAATTTCACACAGACGGGAGTTTTCCAGCCTTTATCTCTGCTATGGTTTTCCGGTGACAGTTGTTAAAAAAAAATAGAATATTACTTCAGACAAATAAAAACGGGTTTGGAAAAAAAAAAAAAAAAAACCCTGTGGAACCATGGGCGGCCCTAGAAGGGGGCCAGCAGGGGCCCAGTTACCGGAGAGCTAAATCAATTTCTCATGATATGAACTGGCAGGATCCTAAGAACAAATTTTATTTTTACCTTCACAGTTTTACTGTAATAATGAATCAAAATTGAAGGTGTTGCTCTTTGAGCTTCAGTCAAACAGAAAGTCAGTGGGGGGTCAGCAGGTCAGCAAACTTCCTTCAGCCTGATTGGAGCAGCTTGGATGAAACCAACACCTATTTTAGTTTAAAACGACTCGCATGTGACATATGACATCACTTCCTGTTGGTTTCTTTGTTCTCCAGGGGAGCCGTGTAACTCCAGGTGTGGTGTACGTCGGCCATCTTCCTCTGGGGCTGTTCGAGCCGCAGCTCCGGTCCTACTTTGAGCAGTTTGGGACTGTCCTACGCCTGCGGCTGTCCAGGAGCAAAAAGGTCAGAAAACAAGAACTGCTCAGTGGGACTGGACCCAGAGGGACACGTCTGGTTGTCTCTGAGGACCTGGACCTCAGCTGATTATCGGCCCTGACTGAAAATGGTCTGAGGTTCTGACTGGGTCTCGAGGTCCGGTATCCGGGCCAACATGATTCTGGTGCATTAATCTTACCGGCCGCTCCGCCCATGGTCCAATAGAACCACCAGAACCTCCCGATCTGTACCCGATCTGGACCAGCTATCTAATTAAAGCCCTTTTGATTCTGTTTTATGACTTTGTGTTTATGATCTAAAGCTCTTTGAAATGCCTTGCTGCTGAAATGTGCGATACAAGTCAAATTTGATTGATTTTAAATGGTGTCAGATAATAGTAGCCGTTGCCATGGTTACCTGTAGCAGCCTGTTGTGGTTACCGTAGCAACAGGGAGTGATGATGTCATCTCTGCTGCAGACCGGCGGCAGCAAAGGTTTCGCTTTCATCGAGTTCGAAAGCGACGAGGTGGCGAAGATCGTCGCGGAAACTATGAACAACTACCTGATGGGGGAGAGGCTCATCAAGTGTGAGTAGAGCCTCCAGAACCGGGCTTGGGTTCTGGTTCTGGTTCTGATCCGGTTCCCGCCACGTTTCCAGGTGAGGTTCTACCTCCAGAGAAGGTCCACGAGAAGCTGTTCGTCGGGTCCCAGAGGATGTTCCGTAGGCCGGCCCGGCCCGCTGTGACCCGGTACAACCGGAACCGCTCGCCAGAGCAGCTGGACGCCATGACCCGCCGCCTGCTGAGGAAGGAGTCGCGACTGCGCAAGAAGCTGGCTCAGCAGGGGGTCCAGTACGACTTCCCCGGATTTGTAAGTGATCTCAGAACCGGAGTCTGTTGACTCCGGTTTAGTGGGCCCGTGGTTCTTTCCCTGGTTCTGATGCAATTTCTCTCGTGGAACCAGTTTGGTTCTGAGGTTCTGGTTCTTACTGGTTCTTCCTGTTCTGGTCCAGGCGGCCCAGAAGAAGACGACCTCCGCCGTCCTGGATGCTTCGTCCTGCAGCGATGTAAGTCCACCCGCCGGCGTCGGTTCTGGACACGCCAGTCCTCTGGCCCGTACTGAAAATGGCCCGGCGCCGGTCCATGGCTCCGGGTCAGATAAACGGGCCCACATGAAGGCGGGGCGTAAAGCTGATTGGCCACCTGCTGGTGGTGGCACCATGAAACCCATGCCCCCACAAGACTGGTTACCATGACAACACAGATGATGCACCACAGCAACTGGATCATCAACAATATGATTGATGTGCATTGATGGTTTATATATTTGGCAAAATGTTTCTGGCTTGTTTAGTTGGTCTTTGATGTTTTTGTTAATCTCTTTGATCTTCCTTGTTGCTGGTTCTGATCAATCTGACTCTTCCTCCTCCTCCTCTTCCTCAGCAGACCACGCCCGTCTGTACGCCGTCCTTCCTGGAGAGGAGGAAGTCCACGGTCGTCCTGGACGATGAGGAGGACAGTGAGATCATCCTGAAGATGCCGGCGGCAGACAAAGATGATGATGATGACTGCAACATGGAGGAAGAGGAGGACTCTGACAGCTCTGAGGATGAAGAGGAGGCCCAGTGAAGGGTTTCAGTGTTTAAGGCGGACTGGGACAGTTTCTACCTCCAGACTGGAGCCAGAGCGACCCGATTGGTCCAACAGAACCGGCTAGTCCAGGCTCGCTCTGCCCACTGGCTGCTCTGCTTCCTGCTTTATTATTATTACTATGATGAAGAGTCTGTTCCTGTCAGTCCATTGGAGAATATTCCCTGGTTCTGCAGCAGAGAAGCAGACTGGTCTGAAATCTGGGCCTGATCTGGACCAGCGCAGGGAAAACATGGGCTGTGTCACATGACCAAACAAGGACCGCATGAACCCCAAACCTAAAACAAAATAGGCCACACATGTTCCCTGCTGGTCAGCTGGTGATCCAGTGGACCAGTCAGAACCTTCTGGGCCGTCTCAGTCATGATGCTGGTCCAATGAACCCAGATGGATGTTTTCAGACCTAAGAGCTCTGATCTGCTGCAGTGCTAACAGCAGTTTCATGGTTAAGGCGTTAGGATCTGCAGCTGGGCGTCGTTCTGCTGTGCAGTGGATTTTAGCGGGTCAGAAGCAAAGAATGAAACAAAAACAGGGAAATATTTCAGTTTAATAAAATATTCAGAGATGCAGCGATCAGATCCCTGATCGACCAGATGGATCCTCTCAGTACGGCTCAAGCTTCATTATTAATTCAATGTTAAAGTAAAACTGTAAAAGAATAAAACTTTCTGTGGCAATTCATCATAAGGAATTGATTTCATATTGTCTCCTTGGTAACTGGGCCACTGCTGGATCCTTGTAGAAGGTGGTTCTTCTGGAGCCTACAGAGGGATGCAGCTCTTTAAAAAAAAACATGTTTAACTTTCAGCCATACATTGACTTAAATTAGTTTCCAGTCTTTTTTTTCTTCTTATAAATAAAAATCGTTGCAAATATGTGGAAATATTGTGCATTTCTTCTAAAGTTTATAGGTTTCTATTTTTTTATGGAAACCAAATCAAAGCCACAATCTGGGCCCATAAATCTGGTTCTGATTGAACCACACATGCGCAGTCCTGCCCTGGCCGCCAGGTGTCGCCAGCGTTCGCGCTCCCGAGCGACCGCTTCTCCATGCGACAGTTTTCCAAGTGCCAACATCATCTCTGGATGGACTGCGCATGCGCACGACGATCCCCATTCTTGTCCTTCAGGCAGCATTCCTGCTGGAGAGTGTTGATAGAAAGGCAGAAAGAGGAGCGGTTTGAGGCCGCGGACTGAAGCTTTCCCCCCGAGCGGAGAGCGGGCGGCCCGGAGAGTCTGCGGCGGGAAATGGTGAGTGTTAACTCGAATGATGAAGCTGCTCCTCTTCGGCCCCCCGCCCCCAGTTTTCTTTTGTTGCTGCGAACTGACGTTTCATTCAAAGGTAGCTAGCTGTAGCTGGGTCCGATGGTTACTGCCGGGCTTCCCGGAGGGAAGGCGGCCGGAGAGGCTGAAGAGAGAGGCGGGAGGTTCCACGGTGGCTCCAAGAGCGGTCCGAGGGCTACCTGCGGTCCGCTGGAGGCGTGGAGACGGGGAGGCTGCGGCTAGCTGGAGCGGAGCTAAGCTAGGGAGGGGGGAGGTCTGGTGCACCAGGACGGGAACCAGGATGGAGATCCAGACAGCATCATGTGACACTGCAGCTTTATCTAGCCAGAACCTGAACCAGAACCAGAAACTGGTCCCGTCTGCTGCTCTGGAGCTTCCAGATGAGATTAGCTCCATACCAGGTGGAAATACATCAGCAGCGGCTGCCAAACCCTGAGACCCCCCAGCAGGTAAACCCTAAGACCCCCTGCCCCCAAGTCCCGCTTGTCAGAACTGGATCAGAACCACAGAAATGGATTCCTGCTGCACATGTTCTGTTGTGCTGGTGCAGATGTTTTTAGGGGAAAGTTGAGTGAAAGGAAGAAATGCTAGAACAAGTAGCAAAAGCAACAGCCTGGCAGGGATTGACACAGTTTTGTAGCCATGTTTGTCATGCTAATTATAAGCAAGCTTTTGAAATGTTGCATTAAATGCGTATTAGCCTCCTTGTTTGGAGCGAATCAGCCAGGCTACGCAGAGCATGATGTCATCAGATTCTGATGCTACACATGACTGTAGTAAACAGGAAGTAGAGGTTTCTAGCCATAGACATAATATAAGGATAGACCCTCATGGTCCGCTCTCGCCTATTGTCGCTGACGAGATTTATACGAAGATGTAAACCACATAAAGTGAGCTTATAAACCTTTTTATCAAAATCACAAAATTATTTAAGTTATTTTGATACTTCAAAAATTGCATAAAGAATGGTGGAAACAGCTGGCCTTAGCGGAGCCACCGTCTGCTCTCGTCCATGCAGCGCTGCACTAGTTATGAAGGATCCCGGCCCGGTACCGAGCCCAGACCCGGCACCGGGTCCGCTCTGCGTTTCTGGGTTAAAATGCTTTTCACTGATCTAATGTGAATAAAAGAGCTGCAGCTCAGAATGTCTCTGGCAATGCCATGATTTTGGAGCTGGGCAAAATCTTTGTCTCCAGTGAACCTTCATATCTCTAACCGACCCGAACTCGGCCCGGTGCCGGGTTTCCGGTCCCAGACGGTCCCACTCTGATTGGTCCTCGTCTCTTCCCTCCAGGACAACGCTGGACAGTGGCAGGAAGAAGACATGG